ACCTTTAGAAGTATTTTATATTAATTATAATTTTCGTCTCTGCCTAGTAGCAGACGAGACAGGTCACATTCTCTGTCACTGCTCAGCCTTGATGTGGCTCTTCAAAGGTTGAAGAAGGTCTTCAACGGAGACATTCTAGCTTTCATTCGAAAGGCAGTATCAACTATGTTCGCCGGAGTACCGCAGCTCCGTTGGGAGCTGATTGTTTATTTCTATTCTATTTTTTTCTATAAGTTTATAAATATTTGAAAATTTTTTAATTGGTACATACTATTTACCAGTATCAATTAAATTAACACAGCTCCTATTTCCTGAGTTTGCTTACTTAACAATGGAATTTATTAAAGATATCAATTTTTGTTAACTCTTTTTTTGTACTTTAAATCAAGCATTTAAGTATTAAAAGTATATTAAAGATACTGACTGCCGTGTTTTTTTGTTGTTAGTCTTTGTGTAATATATGTTTGAACTGTCAACACTATTTTGCGGTAGATAGCTTGAATAGTTATCGTTATTGTACACGAAGTAAAAAGATTGCGGCTGTAAGATCTAGTATGTTAGTAAGCTATATCAGCAATAAATATAACTATGAAACTATTGAAATAAGTTTCCGATATGAGATATTATGGTTTTTCTGTGTCGACTTTTCTTTGTCACTCTATAACTCAGTAATTAAAATTAGTGTGCAATACAAGAAAACGGACAAGAGTATCTTAGAAGAAAATGAATTACTTGATGATATTGCTAGAATTGAATTCAACCTTTCAGAGGACCATATAGCCAAAGTAACATATATATATATATTCATTTAATTGAGAAAGGCCAATGAATAATAAAATCATTATTATATCGATTAGACATCTATTACATACTAAAGAAATAGTTGGAACCGGATTTCAAATCATATATTTGTTTCAACCAATCTCCTCCTTTACTGAAATTCACTATATCTAGACTAACACATTTTAAAAAAAACGATAGATGGTTTTCTGAACTTCACTATCTGCATCGTTTTCAGGAATATAAGCAAAATATTCCAAATCTTTTCTATTGTTCCATTGAAAGAACAATAGTACTATATTCGGTATTTACTCGACTTGAGTATCTACAATGTTGCCAGGAATATGGACAATATATTCATATATTGCATACTCAGGTTGCAGCACATGATTATACGCCAGATTTTTTTAACCTTGATTAAAGGAAGGTTAACGAAGTGTTAAAGTGTTATGCACGAAGTGCACACAACTAAGTGTTAAGGAAATTCTAATACATCTAATCTGTTTTTATTCGGGTCTCTGAAAAGTTCAAAATTCTGTGAAGCTAGTTATATTGATAAGCGGAGTTTGCAATCTGAAATAGGAGCAAATTGTCTTTTAAAATTCGGTATTGATACATATATCTCAAGTGATGAATACATGACATATCTTGTCTAAAATTCATTGAAGCTACTGTCGTTAAGAAAATTTTTTTCATCTTTTTATTTAAGAGAGAGATATGTTACCAAATTAGAACTTGGTAATATTTCTTACCAGGTCTTACCAAATAGACAAAAGGGTGAAACAAAAGGTATTGAAGTCAGTGTAATAAAAGATTTCTTTAATATTCTTAACATCGTACAATAACTCGTTTTAGCAGTTACCTGGTTTTAGCAGTACAAGAAGGTATAATTCTCTGAAGATCATAAAGATCGTAATGTGAAAAGTCTTGAAACCAATAGATTTGCCATAATACAGGAAATTTGTTGATCTAACACGATAAATAATGATATCGAATTCAGATTTTTAAGTCTAAAAATTAATCGATTGCGTTCACAAGCTCAGTAATCAATAGAGGCAAAACAAATATATCTGATCTGTTCAGCTTAAGCACCTATAAAACTATGTTTGCAGATTAGATTGACTTTTTGAGATTATAAATTGATTTATATATTTATTGCTCTTTCAATCACTTTATTTTAGTGTAAACAGATTTTATTTATAAATCTGGTTAATCTTATACTTCAAGTGAAGTGATATATTAAGCAATTATAGTATTAACTCAGATTTTGCACATTCTAATATTATAGGCTTTCAAGAAAACGCATTCGAAAAGGTGAATGCATGTACATTGTTACATATTGAAATTCTGCAAATTAAAATCACAACTATTACTTACGTGTGTTACATATATATTATATAGATGAAATAATTTATAATTTATTTCTTAAAAACTTGTTTAAAAATTTTGCTCACTCCTTTTATGGTCATAATTACGAACGTAATTAAGTCAAATGTGCTCGTAACCGTAAACGTCATATTTGTGAGTTTAACTTTATTTAACAAACTTAATATAATTTGTTACTATTTTTATTTAATTTTATTATATACACATATCTATAATTTTTATTTGCTGTTAAGAAGTTTTTATCAATTTATTACCTATTGGCTTTTTTGGCTTATTATTTTAATACAGATTTGATAAAAGTGATAGGAACACTTAAAAAAAAATGTCACACATAAATTTTGGCATTTATGGAGATAAAATTTTCTGTACTATTTCAATTGTTTATAATCTAAAAAGTTTTATTAATCATGTGTAGTTATTTTCATATATGGTATATAATCGCTCATAACAGTGACTCATGAATATAAAAATATCATAATTTAATCGTCAATTTCGTGAGTTTAGTCGAGTAATTCGATATTTTGTAAGAAATTAATGCGATTCCCGCTTCTTTTTACATTTAACTAAAGCAATGAATACATTTTCTTTCATGTTTTAAAATTATAGCATATTATATATTTTCTTTATTTATTTCTGGAACACGCCCATTTTGATAATGAATTTCAGTAACGAACAGCTATATTTAGCAACTTTTTGCACTACGCTATATGTCAATATGGCTTAGTTTTTGGGATAAAGAGAAACACAGCTCATAGATTTCTTGATAATTATTAGAATTACTGATAACACTATACAAAAACTATCGATAGTATTATCAATGCTAACTATAGCTTATAATAATGATGATTACCTATGATCATAAAAATTTATCGGTAGTCATAATTTAAGTATTATTTACAATAAGTACTGTGTATTTTAGAATTTTTAGTAAATAAAATATTTCGAATGTTTTTTTCTTTTCTAATAAAAATAATGTAGTTCTGTAAGAAAACGTTTATAAATTATTTTGTTAATATACATTTTTTATAATGCATTGGTGTTGGTCACCATGGTAGCAAATTAGTATTATATTCACGGTACTTAAATCAGTACATTGAATATGCAATTAAAAGTAATATATCAGCTTTTGACACTCTAATAATCTCTATAGTTTTATTTTTTGTTGAAAATTGAAACTGAAGACTGCTTGAAATTAATATATTTATGTTTCGTGAGACATAAATAAGCTTGAGACAATAAACATATTATTAAGCATTTAATATCTATTCATTTAATAGTGTGAGATAATATTCAGAAATCCAATTTTTGAAATGAATCACTTCGAAGAAATGCAAAGTCAATAATATGGTGAAGGGCCAACAGAGTAGAGCGCTAGAAGGCTGACACTTAATTTTTCTCTGCAAAAACAAATTCAAGCATCCTTAATAAGTATTATTAAGTCTTATAATAAAAATATTAGAATGCCTATAAACCTCTTCATATCCCTCGCAAATTCAGTCAGTGCGTAATTTAATATTAATTTCTATTAATTCCAAATTGTTTAAAGCCAAAGTGCCAGCTAACGGAAAAAAACGGAGGTGAAGTTAAAAAGTGAAAAAGTGCAAGGTAACTATAATAAACACAGAATAATAATTTTCGTAGAAAATCTATGCTAACGAGCTTCAATGTTTAAATAAAAGTACCAACATAGTTTGAGATTCTGAAATATTAGAGAAAATATTTAAGATTTTTTTTAATAAAAGTTGATTAATACTTAGCAAACGTATCAGTTTCATGATTATGTGAACTTATGGTAGTCGTAAAGCTACTATAACAGAGATTTTCTCTTAACACAATTAGTTTAGTTCTATCACTCAGTTAATTTAATTTTGTACAAACTATGAAAAATGCTTGTAAAGAGCATTTTATTATTTGTCAAGTTCATTTGTCAACTTGACAATTTATCAAGAAAAAAGTTTTTTTATTTATAGTACAGAATATCAAAACCTTGACAAATTGTCAACCTTGACAAAAAAGCAAGATTACTTTACTTGACAAATTTATCAAGTTCACAGAATGGAGGGGTTAGTTTTTATGGTACTATAAAATTCAGTCAAAAATATTTCAGAGAAAATTATTAAGAGAATAAGTGATGTATAAATAATTGTATTCAATTTTTGAAAAGAAGTTAAGGGCCTCAATCGTAATATTTATTTTTAAACAAATTCATAACATAATAGTTTTTAATAGAAATCTCATTAAAGTACTGATACTGGGATGCCTACAAATATGGTTTATTGGATTTGTTGGTGGTTGAGCTTCCTTTTTTTTGAAGGTAGTGTTTAATACCACACTCCCGGTCTCGAAAACTCAAGTTTTTAAGCTAACATACGCGGTTGATTACGAAAATTGTGTTTGGGATGTTGACTTGGTTTATTTCTTTGTAGACGATCAATGGACTGTCTCAATCTTGCCAGGAAAAATATTAGGTTATACCTTTTCTCTCCCTTCCTGTAACGCCGGTTAAAAGGGATAAAGGGATAATTTTTCGTCATGTGTGACTAAAAGGCAGTGAGATGTCTGCACTTGTCTCTGTGCTCAGTAGAATGTTTAATTAAGCTTTTTAAATTTTTTAAATTTATTGCAAAATTTAATTTATTTGTCTACTATTTGATTTATTTTATATTGATGTCATTTTACAAGAGATGATAAAGTTATTTAAATTCTTCATTTAATGTTTTAAATGTTTTCAATGGTTTTTAAATTTTAAAATATAAATCAAATAATTAATTTCCAATTAATGTAATTAAATCGAACATTCTGATCATTTTACGTATATGCAGTATTAATTAAGCTCACTTGTAAATATTATAAACCATTAAATGATACTCACTTCCCGTTGCGCGCCGCACAACCGTATGGGTGAAATTGCCTAAAGCTGCCACTGTGACAATGGAGTCCTTCTTGCCACTGCTCATCTGTAAATAAATGAAAAATAGCAATAAATTTTATATTTAATCATTAAACTTAAAATTAATTATTTCCATTAAATATGCAAAAGCAAATTAGTTATATTAAACCACTTTTATTCATTAATAATTTATAAATTTTCCACCCATTGATTTAATTACTGAATTTAAAAAATTCATTTTATGTAAAGCTACTGCTTCAGGGTTTAAATGTTTTAAGAAACATTTCTTTAATGTTTCTATTAAAAATATTTATCATAGAATTATAATATTCAATATATGTATACATATACATATACATACATATAGATATAACAACTTAACTACAAATAGGCATTGTAACAGTTGCGTACAAATAAGAAATACCATATGTGCCATTCATATATACCACAACTTTCACTTATGCATTCATATGTACATATCGTTAACATATCTACTTACATTAACTTAAATGAATGTTTGTTAAATATATATTGTAGTTCTTTTATATATGTAGACGCACATTTTAACTTTAACTCAAACGTGCACTTTGTGTCCTGCCCTAAAGACAGGATTTATGTCGACTTTATTGGCAGTACGAAGTTTTATGCCTACTCTCTTAAACGTTCTCAAAATAAAGTAGTATTTGATGTTAATAAAGCTACAACCAAATGGGAAAATAATAAAAACACACACATTCTCGCAGATATCTTGAAAAGTTCCTTTGGCGTAGTCATAAGCATCTAAGCACACTTCCTGCAGGACTAATGCCGTACGCCACATTTTAGTCACATCGATTTTTGATGAGTTTCGTTTCGTTTGGCAAATTTCTACTTCCTTCTCACCAGCGCAGCACTTGGTAGCTTTAAGCACATCATTGTGGCATATTCATTATTATTAAATTTGTTCGAATGGTTGGAAAATACGAGTACAACATACAAGCATCCTCCACCGGCCCACGTCTACATATTACCGACATATAGATTAAGAGGCACTACATTTTTTTATAGCATAATTAAGTGTATTTGAGTGTTTATGCTTTTATATGTGTGACTTCCTGTCGATTTTGAGGTTTAATGTTTTCATGTTAACTTCAATTTTATGTGCTTTACTTTTCAAAACACTTCAATTAATTTCCTTAGTTCCATTTAGAGTTTACACTGAGAAAAAGAACTGAAGAGAGGACTGAGGAAGATTAAGTTTTGTTCCTATCAAATAGAAAAAGTATTCAAATTAGTTCGAATAATAATGGCTCAGACTGATTGATAGGGATCTACTAATGCTGAATAAAAATGGCATCCGACTTGTCACAGGGTTTCTCACTGGACATTGCGGAGTAAAAAAGCATCTATGAAACGTAGATATTACAAGAGATGATAGCTGCAGATTGTGTTGCGAAGAAGAGCAAATAGCAGAAGACTCAGACTTCGGTACTTATCTACTGCCTATCCACTTATAATGGAATTAGACAACATTTCTCCAAAGGACATATTGGGGTCTCTAACTGCTACTCGTCTATGAAACTAAAGTGGGTATGTCACAATAATCCTTAAAGGATGCAGTGACATGGTAATAAGTTCTCAACCCATTTTTATATCTAACCTAATCTCATTTTAAAATAAAAAAGTTTAATTGTATACAGTTTTTGTTAGAGATGATATAAAACTTCAATTGGTCTAAAAGGTTATAACTAATAATTTTCGATACATCGTTAGAATGAAAACGGAATTAAAATGCAAGCTACAGGAGTGTCAAAAATCAAAAAACTCTTGATTAGTTGCAATGTCTGATCAATAAATATCATTCCGTTTGTTTAATAGGTAATTAATCGCCGTTTTAATAGCATATTCCTCGCAAGAAACCTCTGCAGTTAAAACGAATTCATTGAGTTTCTGTAGTTGAATAGATATTTTAAGCTTATTGGTCAAGTCTCTGTAACGACTGTAATAAATGCTGTGATGAGAAACCACAATAATCTTAAAGAAATGTAGCAAAACTAATTTAGAATTATGTACTTTTATTTATAAACTCCAAGTTTTTGGTGATTTGTTAAAACCCACTAATTAATATTTATCATACCTCTAGATGCTATTATATATGTACCGCCCAATTTCAAAAAAGGTTATACCCTATCCTTATTTTTTCTTCAAAACTGCACTATTTTTAAAATTTTTTAAAGTTCGAATAGGTGTCGTATTAGTACCTTAATTAACTAATCTTTTTTAAACTAATTATGATTTTTTTTATATTATGTAAGATTGGATTCAAAGACTTAACTTAACTTGTCATCTACAAATTGTTTAGGTGTTCCGAGTAAAGACCTGAAGGACCTTTTCTGACTAACTTGTCTGCTTTGTAATTCCCGAAAATATCCCTATGACCGGAAACTCAGATAAGAGAAATGTTGGGTAGCGTCGACGCTGCATTGAGAGATATGTAGTAATCAAAAACCATCCTAGATGTAAATTGGACTGAACTCAAGGACTTTAAAGCAGCTTGACTGTCTGATAGTATTTATATATCTCTCTTATATATATTATCCACTTTCAGACAAGTTATAACTTCCTTAATAGTGATCACTTCTGCCTAAAAAACACTACAATAATACATTTGATTATTTTAATTAAAATTTTGATTATTAAACTCAATTTCAAATATTTTACTCTACATACCTAAAACTCTTATCCTTTTGATTTTTAATAAATTATAGCATAAATATACAGCCACTCTTTTGTTTCAGTCGTAATTAAGTAAGAATTATAGACTCATTCATGGCAATTAATATATTAATGTTTTTGAAATTTCTAAAACAAATATTTTAATAACTCTTACCGCATCCATAAATCTTAGCTATTAACAAGTTTCCTACAAATAATTTCATAAATAATTTCACATAAAAATGAGGAATAAATTTTGTTCAGCAATTAAATTGCTTCAAATCCCTTCCATTAAATTACAAAGGGAAAATGATTGCGTAGCATAATCGCATTTCGCCAACATTTACGATATCACAACCAACCATGTCCGTATACGGTAAAGTATATTTGTTAATGATTTGCGGTGTTTATATACGAGTATATGTTTATATATACATATATATGTACTGATATTTTCACATATACATCACACATAATATTGGCATTTTATTGTAGTTAAAAATCCGTAATCAAATATTTACTGACTGAAGTTAGAGGTTCTAAAACATTACGATATGTCAATTGTCGTTTTGTTTTTATAACTCAATCATAATAAATTATTTTTTCATGATGAGATACTTTTCCGTTTTCCGTTTTCCATTATAATATTTAATGAACATGTTACAATCATTTAATAGATTAGGGTAAATACCCCACATATTTTGTCACCCAAATGTTATGGGACTTGTGATGAACTCTACAAACGAATTGTGGATTTGCTGTTAGAAAAGTTAATATTGAAGTGGAAAATTTTGGAAAAATATGGAAAAATTTCGAACTAACAAAAATATCATAAAGTTTGAGATAAACAAAAAATCATTTACTATTTATTTAAGTAATAGTATATTAACTTACCCGTGATTATTGTTAACAGTTTTGTTAAATTTAATTGAAATGAATATTATTAAAAAACTTTATAAATTTTGTTAAATTTATATAAAATATTGTGTGAATAATATTATAATAATTAATTAAATTGTACAAACAGATTCTTAATTCCTTTTTGTTTTGGCAACTGTTTAATGAATTTCTGTATATAGTAATATTGTAAGCCGACTCGATTCAGTAGTCCAATTAAAGCTTTTGCATTGTATTAGTGCCGTACCTCCGTTACAAGTGGTTGTTCAGTTGACATCATAGATAAATCCAGTGCATGCAGTTTAAGAACCTCTGAATTCTTCTCTATTATTAACAGAACCTTTTTAAAGCTGGTTTACATAGTGACTGATCTTCACCTCCAAAGAGAATGGCAAGCGAGAGAATTTGAAAATATAGTCTTTGTGTGTATTATTTACTAGTGCAACCAGCCTCTTACCTTAACCTCTCTAACATTTTTATTAGTATACATACATATAAAAACAATACTCTATATCGAATACAGTGTACTTTTATTATACCAAACAATTTACTCTTCATCAATCTTCTAGGCAAGTTTTTGGGTTTTACAAGTGCAGAGCTTCATCACTTGCATGAATTGAAAGCCGCTATATTTGTGATTTGGGAGTCAATAAAAATTGTTCCTAAAACTGATGCAATTTTGAGATTTAGCCACATCTCTTAGCACTATATTTTATCACAAAGATTGGTGATATATTTTTGGTGGTCTTGTTAACGCCTACACATATAGGAGCAAATTGGCAGCCTGCTGGTTAGGGAGTTGTTTATGGAAAAGTCGTTAATTTTTAGGATAGGGATAATTGCCTTTCCATAATCTATCCCATAATCTAGTATATTATTTGGTGCTTTAAGTCTGGACATATACTTTAAATTTTGATATAGTGTTTTCAAAGTAATTTTATGTCCAATAATTTGGTATTTCAAGTCTAGACATATACTTTAAATTTTGATATAGTGTTTCCAAAGTAATTTTATGTCTAGCAGTGTTTCAGTGTAGCATATCTAAACCGTTTGTGTACAATGGGCAATGTACTTTTATATTAGTTTCTGATATACGAATAAAGGTTTACTAACACAAGGGTAGAATGCACGTGTTCATACCGAACTTCTAATAACGATTCAAGAGATATTATATCTTCAAATATTGAATATTAAACTCGAAAATTTATACGAATATGTGTTTTCGTATGATTTTGTTTCAATTCGGTAATATTGGTACTTTCAGAAATACTGCTATGTATGGACAAATACCAATCCGTGTTTCAATGGGGGATTACGCAAACTAATCCAAGCTTTATAGTTGCTTCGATTTTCATGATAATTATTTTCATGAAGTGTACTGGTAGGATCGAGAGAAAAGTTCTTCGTAAGATCTTTGGTCCTCTACGAGTTGGCGACGACTACCGCATTAGAATGAACCACGAGCTGTACGAGCTT